TACACTTTCCTCTGTGGTATTGCATTCAACTAGTTATGCTTTGGATTTAACTTGATTCTTTCTCCTAATTTATCATCTATTACTTGGATCATTTCCTCTTCTATGATATCTGATACCATACTTCTTAAAATGATGGAAATTGGTAGTGTGCTTTTCTGTAGTCTATAGGCTTTTTCTTATTGTCTTTTCTCTCAATTCTGTGTTTTCAGAACTAACTGCTCCCTATAATTTCTTCTGAGTTTCATCATTACCAATACATTACTAATCTCCCTCTTTATGGGTCTGTATCATAAATTTCTTCTTTGACACTTGATTGAGCCTTGTAATTGACTGTGGATGTTTTTCAGGAAGCAGTAATGATGTCTAATATTTTAGTTTCAATCGTCTAAAATTTAACTTCTTCAATAATATCAGTCTGTAAGAGTCTCAAGTGTAAAATTGTCCTGGAAAAAGAAAAAGAGTACTTGCGCTAATGAAAGATTATACTATTTAAAAGTAGCATTAAAAATTTAAAAGGGGATTAGGAAATTCAAAATCTGATTAAGTAGGCATGTATTGACAATAGTGAAATATACTTCATTATTTGTGCATTTTAAATGGGTCTGACATTATGTGACATAATGATTGATACCAAACTGTTCATGTTAACAAAAACCTCCAGTGGTTTTTATACATGTTGGGCTCAAGGAGACAGACATTACTATATCAACAGGTTTGCATTGCTGTGTTCAGTCAGCACCATGTTGATGGACTAGACCTGTCTTCAAATCCCTGTTATATATGATGTGCTTCTATCCAGTAAGTTGTGTTTTTCTGAGTCATTATATGTGATGTGAGAACAATATGAAGTGCTTTAAAGGCCTTCACCGCAATCGTTATTTATTTAATTATTTTTTCTTTCCCTTACTCGTGGTGCTTTGAGTAATTTAATGTGTTTAAATCCCTTGTTTGACGTTTTGGTCTTCCAGGGAATGCCTGAGCAGAAACTTCGTGGACACGTGGGTTTTTTTGGTGTTGCAGGAAATCTTGCACTGCAGCCAATGTATACTTTGTCTGGTATGTTTGCTTTCTTATGTTTGGATATGATTTTGATAATTTGAAAGCTTTTTTTATTAATTTGCATTTAAGATGAGACTGAACTTTGGATATCAAAACTCCGAAGGATTTTTCACTGGCTAATTTAAGTCATTCAGTGAAAAGGAACAGAATGTTGTTTCTTGATGTTATTAAAGAGTTGGTTTCTGAATGATTGTTTCGAGGCTATGAACGAGTGCATCCTGGTCATTGGGACTAAGAGTCCAGTTCTTTTCTAATGCATCAAATGGATGTTGTCTAGGATTTAAAGTTATGTTATAATTTATATGCATATGTGTGAATGTATCAACAGACATGTTACTTATTGCTTTGATTGCTGATTCTAGGTGATCAAAAAAGCAGAGTTGCTTTTGCAAAGATAACTTTCAAGAAACCACACATAATATTGCTTGATGAGCCATCCAATCATCTTGTAAGTCTTTTAACCTTATTTCTTGATGCTAAGACATGGTTAAGTTGTCAATTATTCTAGGATTTGCTTGAAAAAATATTTTTGGTCCGAGATCCTTCCAGTGTCTGGTATCCACACAAGGGCTTGACTAAGTCTGGAGTTGAGCTGGGTTTGATCCTGTTTTGGAGAACAAGCTTTACCAATGTTTTCTAAATCGCACAGCTTGAACTTGAGACCTTACTGAAGGGGCCACGAGCTCCTTGCTAACTTGAACCACCAAGCCAACAGTTGTTGGTTGATTGGAGAAGTTTTATAACAGCTGACAGTGCAATGACCGCTGACTTTGACCTTCGATTTTGACATTGAAATTAGGATTTGGATGCTGTGGAGGCACTAATTCAAGGCCTTGTGTTGTTCCAAGGAGGGATTCTGATGGTAGACTCAAGTCTTGTTCACTTTTTCAGTTTAGTTAGCAAATAACATGATATTGGTGAGTTTTGGAAGTCTGGGATTGAATAGTGAGTGTGTTGTTTCGTGCAGGTTAGTCATGATGAACATCTTATATTGGGAAGTGTAAACGAACCGTGGGCGGTGTCTCAGGGAAGGGTAAACCCTTTTCACGGAACTTTCCAGGGCTACAAGAAGCTCCTCCAGTCCTCTTCCTAGGAGCATTATCTTATTGGAGCATTATCTTATTGGAGCATTCCCTGTGTCTGGTATCAACATGTTTTTCTGCAGCACATTCCTTTCAATTTGAAGTAAAAAAATATATATAAAACGATATTATTTTTGAATGTTTTGTTTAAAATTGTAATAATCGCGATTGATTGTAGATTGACATTTAATTATGACATATTTAATCGTATAATACTAATGCAATTGGTTGCTGATTCAGTTGTTTTAAGGTGCATGATTGTTAATTGTTTCATGAATAATCATATTGTATTGGAAACAAGTGTTGGTAATGCTCAATCCCACATAGTATTGGAATACTATCTTTTTAGAGAAAAGTCTTAGGAAACAAATACAATACAACCAGTCGTTGCGATTTTGGTAACGTAGATAGATTTTTTCCTCATTGTGATGACATGAACAAAATGATGTTTTAGATACTCAAATTTAGGGTGTATCAATTCCACTACTAAACGGTTACTTTGAGCAAAGTACTTGTCTTAGAATTGGTGGTAATGGATGTAACTCCGACACAAATCATAAGCAAAGCTAGCAAATCAAACCAAAAAATTTGTACATCATATTCTTGTCAGCCTCCAAAGCAAATCGAAGCAAAGCATGATCTTGTCAACCTCCAACAACTTGGAGCTTTGCTTTTTGAGCAGCTTTCATAAACATAAGTGCACCGATTTGAGACAGAACATTTAGGGGTGTGTTAGGAGGGAATTAAGGTTATAATCATACCTTTCAAAAAATTTAATTTTTTTTTTATTTTACATAATCTTTTTTATATTTTTCATTAATTATTTTATTTCATACTCTTTGAAGTTGTATAATTTCACATATCCTAATTTTTTAATATAACTTCTTAAGTTTATACCTTATAAAAATTTTTATATATATTTCCAATTAACATTTCTTCTATTTTTTATTTATCCATTATTCTTTTTCTCCAAATTATTTTTTATTATAAATTAAATATTTATACTTTTTTAATGAAAGTTAAATTGCAGATCATAATAATAACGACGGTTAATAACGGAGTGATTATGAAAACTTTTAAACTTCAGTGATGTAAAGAAAACTTTATTTAAACTTTAGTGACTGTTGGTGTAAGTTTTCCATTAAATAATGACTGTTAACACCTTCTAGAACCTTGGGGATTTTACCCTTAACCGACGAGAGATGCAGTGAAAAAGTCATCCTCTTCAAATCTCGTTAATCCAATTGATTCCAGACTAAGAACTAAAATGGCCCCAGCTTGATCTCTCGCGAGAATCTGGGAGAGGTCGCTGGCTGGGTCAGCGCCACCGTGCTCTCCGCCTTCTTCTCCTCCCTCGAGCGTTTCTCTTGTATCAACCTCTCCACCGACGATCCTGATGATGACGAAAATCCCGACGAGGCCAAGGACCGCCCTCTCCCCTACTCTTAAATATCCTTTCCCACTCCCCACAAATATTGGTGTACTTGCCATGGCATATATTCTCGGTTTCTGACGATTTAGGGTTCTGTTTACAGGAAAAAGAAAAACGAAAGAAAACTTTATATGTTCTAAGTTTGTTGCTACATGTGATTGAAAAATTGAATTGTTATGCAATAAAGGTTGGTTTATGTCATTTTTTTTCTCTTTTGGATATTCAATGATATGGCTTGGTTGATGCTTCGCTTGCTCAAATGTCTGGAGTCAAAACCCTCGATCGAAAAATATGGAGCTTAATTTTACTCTTGCATTTGATTCCTAGGTTTGGTTATGACAGTGTCTTTCTGTTATCAGTTGAAGAATTTACTCATGTGGTTTCTTTTATATGATGTTTTGGATTATTCAATTCAGTATATATATATATATATATTAACTTATGCTACGAGTTCTTCGGAATCTTTGGAAGGAATATGTGCATTTGTTTTATTAACAACGTAGACACAACTTGAATAACGGCTGCTTGAACATGAGTCCTCTAGAAAAAACAACATTCTCTTTTACCACTAAGACCACTCAATGAATTCAAATATGTGCATTTTTTATAGAGGAGAAAAATTGTCTTTCTTTTTTGCGCTGTTTCATTCGGATATGGTTGTAGAGTGGCCATCCTTTTTTCTTGACAGCTTCTAGGTTCAGCTTGTTGCTCTGCATTTGTTTTAATTTTTGGCCTCGGTGCATAATTTGAGCGGTTGGCTTCAGCTTTTGTTCTTTGGTAGTAAATGATAGAGAACTATTTCGAGCCTCTTAGGGCGTATGGGATTTGGTGTTTCTCAAACATATAGAATCATGTTTTTAACAGCAATTATCTCTCCTTTTCTCTCTATTGGCTTTTCACTAGTGAAAAGGGAAGTGAAAAATGAAGATTGAGCATCTAACTACGCTAAGATTGAGCTATAAGTCCTACCTAACTTCAAATGGAGCACTAGTTCCATGTAAATTAGGTGTCTAATGGCCCTGAAGATTGTATGCCTCTAAGGCTCATTTCAAACTCTGCTATGGTTCACTAGGAAGCTTTATATTTACCTCTTCTGCTTCCGTGTCCTTACACTGTTATGTGGCTGGTTCTTAGCATCTGGAACTATTTAGGAACAATAGAAGATATCACTTTACCGCTATGTCAACCCACTAAGTCGTGTTATCATTATATTTGGAGTTAGGTATTTATTCCTCAGTCATTTTCTTCTCTTTGAATGCAGTTCTGTGCATTTTGAACTTGATACAGAAATCTGTACGTTGCTGTCTTGATGGCTTAGTCTTGCATGCTTAGTCCAACTGTATAATCTCCTAATAGCTTTTTAAGGAAAATATATTTGAGAAGATTAGATAGATGCAGGTAACATTGCTTGGCATAAAGAAGCCTTTAATCTGCTAAGAAAAAGGAGAAAATCGAAGAGAGAGACTTGTATTTCTGTTACCTTCTTTAGCATTTATAGCAAGTGAATCTCTCTATTTAGCTCATGCTATCTGATTCTTATACAAATATTGCATAGTTTTGTTGTAATCTAAATGCTCAAAGTAACATTTGGCACGAATGTTCAACTTTACCGATTATTTCCGTCTCCCTGATCCTTCCAACAAAGCAGCATGAATATGCAACGACGAATTATGTACAACCTTGCTCTCTTTCCCTTCAATCTCTTACTCTCCGGTACCTGAACTTCGACATGCTGTTGTGGAGATGGTTCCATCAACCGTGTCCTGGTTTTGCTAACGCTGCAAGACCTTGTGTCATGTTTATCAGATTATATAATAAGTTTTCTAATTTAGAGATCTCTTGTACAGCAGTTACTCCATTGAAATCAGTAAAGAATTGTCAAATACCTCAAGACTTGACTCTGCTTTAGCTTTGAACAAAGGAGCCGGGTATTTTGGCACTCAAGTATTTGAACATTGGTTCCTCATCCGGACTTGCAGATTATTTGTCCCTTGATCCAACCATGATAGTCCACTTTTCCCAGGATTTACTGCCAAAAAAGACAAATGGGACCATATAGCTTTCTAGATTATCTATGCTCCTTTCCTCAGCTAAGGATAATATCACACTCGTACCACAGCAGCAGAAGTTTGTGTTTCATTGTTTCCGAGGTTTCTCTGGGCTTGTCTTGCAGAAGATACACAATGTATTTACTCTTACAGGAGAGCTACATTTAGGACACTAATTGGGTCTTGTGGGCGCCCATCCCCACACCCCCAAAGTTGATAAGAGGCCAGACCCACCGGAGGAAGGTCGAGCGGAAAGTAAGGCCCCAACACCATATCCTCAACCAACCCCTTTTTAAAATGAAAAAAAAAGAAAAAAGTTGGAAGTAGAAACCCTAATGGATTTTAGGCACTAGCAGCCTAATACTTGTTTTGTTGTTTGATGAGAATATGTGTTTCAATGAGCTCCGATGATGTGTGTGAAATGATGCAACATGCAAGTCGTTCCAATTTCTGAAAGCTTCATGGAAGCATTGTGGAACTTAACTCACTCTGATGGCGCCACTCACCTTCTTTCTCTCTCTCTCCACTATGTTCAACCCTTGATTTGTACCCAACAATACGTTCATGCCTAAACAGATACCTGTAAATTTCGAACAGTGGATCAAAGCAAGCTGAAAAGTTGATGCTGTTGTCTTTCAAACTATGAAATAACAAAAAAAATTGAGTTTTGAGCAACCAAATACCTAAAGACCTATTTGCAGATGTTCAATATTTCGTTCTTGGTCGCTTGGAAAATGCGAGTCAGATCACAACTTAGGCTAAACTGGTCGAGTGAACTCAATACATTGAACACTGCCAGTGATTGTTTTGTATCCAGAACAGAAGGTTTACTTAAAAGAGAATCTTCCTCCATTGCAAGTTGAATAGTAAAAGGTTTTGCTCGACCCATGAAAGCCCACTCTCCATATATTTCATTGGGGAAAGGAAAAGACTAGGGAAGATAATTTAATTTTAATTTAATAGATTTTAATTTGATTGGTCTTGTAAGATCAAATTTTAAAAAGTAGATTCAAATTGGGTTCAATTTTATGAAAGATGGAATTGAATTAGATTTGAGTTTAGATGGAATTTTTAAATTGAATATCTCTATATATTTAAAAATAATTATTATAATATTCTTCTTTTTAATTAGAGGAGTTTTGTAGCAACCTGAAAGTAAGTTCAAAATATTTTGACCTTTAATAGAAAATAACTCTTAGGAGTTTATTTAATTATTTTAAGTCATTGAATGTTGCTCATTGAAAAGGAATTAATTCAGTTAAATTATTTTATGTACTTCTTCAAGTATAGGAAAAGATCATTTTTTACTGTTTGAGATGATTATAAAGAGGTATTTATTTAGAATCCTTATTAATTATTGATAACGTATACACGTTACCGATGTAATTGTTCGAAATCAAAATTTTTAAAAAGAATAATATTTACTTTAACTATTGAATCCACTTAATAAGTTTAGAGAAAAAAAAGATTGTTTCTTGACGAAATATTATTTAAAGCTTTTGAACATAAAAATCCATGAGGTTTCCATTTTTTATAGTGCAATTGTAATTCCTTGATGGAATGTCATGTAAAGCTTTTGAACATGAGGTTTCCAATTTTTATATTGTGATTGTACTTCTTGTATTATTTGGAAACTTCAATTTGTTTTCTTGTGGTACGAAATAGAGTTAATTGCGTCACACATCCTTATATCATTATTCTTATTTTAAATTAGTCCTTAAACTTTTAAATATTTTAATTTTATCCCTATACTATGACTATCATTCTAAATGAATCCTCAAACTTTTGAACATTTCATTTTCATCCTCAAACTATGACCTTCATTCTAAATTGATCTTCAAACTTTTTGAACATTTAATTTTATCTCAAACTATACATATATACTAATCACATCCTTTGTTAATAAAATGTTACACCAAGTTATATTATTATATGTTTGAGAAAAATAAAATTTAAGCTAAATTATGCTTGAAACTAACTACATATTTGGATGACTTTGGGGATGAAATTGAAATATTCAAAATTTTAGGGACCAATTTAGAATGAGGGTCATAGTTTAGGGACAAAATTAAAATTTTCAAAAGTTTAAGGACTGATTAGAATGAAAGTCATAGTTTGAGGATGAACTTGGAATATTCAAAAGTTTAATGACCAATTTAAAGTGAAGATAATAGTTTGGGACATATGATGCAATTAACTCTATCAAATATCCATAACCAATAACATATTTTGTTTGTGCTTTTTATTTTTGGAGTGTTGATTATGATATGTGGTTATTTTTGTTAATGTTTCTACTGTGTTTTATTGAGATGCTTGTACAGTATTATTTTCTCTCTAATTTCAACAAGGATATAAGAAGAAAAATATATTTCTTCATATCTTCCCCTATTTATTTTAGATTTTAGGTGAATGTAGCATATAGAGGCAGTCGCCTCTTGAAAATTTTAAATTGATGTATATTTTAGATTTTTCTATATATTTTTATTAATAATTTGTTTTTATATTTGAAAATTTATAAGTTTCTCCTCAAACATAAAAATTGTACGTTTATCCCTAAATATATGTGTTTTCTTTATTTTATGATGTAAACTTACACGGATATAAATAAGTATAAATAAAATATCTTTTTATAAATAATTTTAAATAAATATAGATAATTTATTTAATATAAGTTTCAAGTACAGCTCGTTTAACTCATTTGGTTGGTGTTCCAGCAGTGTGAAGAGTGGGAGCCAAATCTTTATGAAAGATGATTAGTGATGGATATACGTTGGATTCACATAGTCGTCAATTTCTTTTTTTATATGCATATATCCCTTTTATATGAAAAAGTGATTGAGATATGTTTGGCTTTGGCTTTGGCTTTAGTTGTCAAATGAGTCAGCAATTTCGGACTAAATTTCAGGAACACCTCCTTAAATTAGGCTTTTTATTTATCATAAAACTTATGTATACTGGCCTGGCCTGAAGCACCATAAAAGCTGATTGAGAAAAAGCTTTGATGATGATAACTCAATAATGTTCCCAAGCTGGTGGAGTCATGCCTAATATAACCTTAACTAAGGATTGAAAGAGGGATGTCGTAGTACGATTGTATTTTTTGAAAATTCCACTTTGTCATATAATTTAAGTATTTTTTAAAAAATATATATATAATTTTGTACCCCTAAATTTTTATTATAAATTTTAAATTTACAGCTCTGACATAAAATAATATATATATTACTAGATTTAATTTAACGGATGAATTGAGAAATTGCATAGGTATATAATTCATTTGATAGATGGGACACTTGCTAATGTATAAGTCAACACTCGTTTTTTTTTGTCCCTTTTTTATATTATTATAATAATAATAATTATTATTATTATTATTAATTAAGTTTTATTTGTATTTTTCAGGCCAAATTACAAATGGGCATTTGACCCAAACCCCAAACCCAATTACAACCCGACCCGGACCCACCAACCTATGCCTCCCATGTGAGGCACCACAACCAAGCACCCCACGTTAAACTACATAACAGTCACCCGTGCCCTGCAAACATGACGACATTTAGCAAAACCAAGGTTTGGGGCAGTGGGGGAAATCAGAAAAGAAATCAGTTATCAGCTAGAAAAGGATAAAAAGAGATCGAAGGATAGGGGGGGGGGGGAACCATTAGCAATCGGAACAGAAAAGAAAGCGAGAAGAAAAAAACTGTAAACAGGGGGAAACAATTGTAAGCGAAAGGTAGGGGGACTCTTTCCTGAAAATTACAGTGTAAATTAAGGCAAGGAAATGATAGTGTAATCCACCATTCAAGAACGAGAGAATGTAACAGAAATACAAGTATTTTCGAGGTACTCTTCTGGGATTTCTTTTTGTTTTCCAGTTTCTTTGTGTGCGCTTATGTTATTTAAAAAAAAACAGAATAAGATAAGCTTTAGATTTTGATATTATCTACTTCGATAATACGATTGTGAAAAAACTAAGGTTCCTATAAAACTCGTGCAACTAATTTGTATTGGAATCCCTCCCACATTTTTTTTCATCGAATTAAAACAAAACAAAGCAATTGTTATTTCGATAGAACCAAGCAAGAAATGTAAACAGAATCAACTCTTTCCCACTGTTACTTCTCTAAGACAGAAATCATACCAAAGCAAGAGATTTCAAGAGGTTTTCATTTTCTATTTTCGTTTTTTAGAGTTTCCAAAGGTGCACGTCTTCGATCGAAATTAAAAAAAATATATAAATGGAGGAGTTTAATCGTTGTTACCTCGGTTGTACGGAGGCCGGTGGAGTCCCGTCGGTTTCGTCTCATAGCCGTTCGGGTCTCCACTGTCAAAGAGAAGGAGTTGAGATTAATAAAAAAAACCCGAAACATAATAAGGAAGATGAATAAGGAGAACGTAGGGGTCGGTTTACCTTAGTTGTTTCGAGTTACTTTGTGGGTTCGGATCTAGCGTCGGGAGGCGAGCATTCGTGGTTTGGTTTCGAGAGGCGTAGGGTCTTGATTCGCTGCTAGGGTGAGAAGGAGGTTTAGAAATCGAAAGGGGAGAATGGTCTGTTTACCATAGAGATAAGGGCCGTTGCCGGCGTTATGGTCGACAGAAAGTTGAGGGTCATGTTCTTTGGCCGATTATAAGCTTGCATGTTGGTCTGAAGTGTGAGGCCATCGGAGATTGGCGGTTGGGGTCTCTTGGGAGTGAGCAGCGCGGCCGCGAGAGAGGAGAAGGGGTGAGATGCGGCTGAGAATAGAAATGAGGGTTAGGGTTAACTTTTAGCCTAAAATTATACATATATGTCCTTATTAAAAACGACAACGTTTTGATGGCTGGGGTAGCACGTGCCTGGAAAGTAGGGGTAATCTCGTACGAGGTCCATTGTCTTTAAAAATCGTTACGTTTTAGTCCATAAATCGAGGTTTTCATTTATTTGATTTAGTCTCTTTAGTTTGTATGTGTTTCATTTTGATCCCAAGTATTAGTGTATTCAAGTTTGCTGTTTTTAGGCGTTGAACCTTTTAATTTTTTTCATGTTTCGTTTTAGTCCTTAGGTCGAACTTTGCATGTTTATAATTCTGTCTATTTAGTTTACGCGCATTTAATTTTAGTCCTAGTGTTAATTTCTTTAACTTTTGTTGTTTAGACATTAGGATTCTATATTTTTGCATGTTACCTTTTAAGTCCTACGAATATCTAGGGTTTGCTTTGATGTTAGTCCTTTATGATGTTGATTTATTTTACTTCGGCTTCATGGTTTATTATAGCATAATATTAGTTTTTTAATTATTATTTTATTTGCAGTTAAGTTGGCAAAATTTTGTCTAATAATATTTAGTCCTCATTTTAATAAGTGTAGTTGTTTTCTAAAACTTATAATTTGAAATATTATGTTTTTATTTTTTTTATTTAAGTCACATTTGTGTATCTTATGTTAATATATATATATATGGTTTATAATTTTTAATTACAAAATATATGTATATAATTTTTGTATTAGAATGTCACATTGCATGATATTTTTAATCATAATATTTGTTTAATTAATTTTTTCATAATTTGCATGGTAACCTTATATGCATAACTTGACCAAATGACATAATCGGATTAAGGGTCATACCCTTTTAATTAAAAATTCTTTTTAGTGGGTTGTCTTAACTTATTAGATATCCACTTTTGATGATTTTAAATTAGAAGTGTATCCCATTAGTGACACCTAAAAATTAATTCATCACTTTAAAAATTAGAAGGGTAATAACTTTGGCTATGACTTCGTTCCCGCTTTCTTCAATAACAACATTAACCCTTGTCCCTACATGGTTCGGCAGAGGGTTCGGCTTGAGGTTGGGATACTGTAATGTTATTAGAATCACATTTCTTCACATTATTGACCTCAATTTCATTCATTCTCGCTGGAGGCTTTCGGCTAGATTCTTCCCCGTCTAGCTTCTCGCTTTTGATTGCCATCTCGATCTTTTCTCCTGCATTGACTATATCAGCAAAAATCTTGGACGAATTTCCAATGAGATGTCCAAAGAACGGGGCTCTCAGAGTATTTGTAAAAAAACATATTAGTTTCTTCCTCCTCTAACGATGGATGAACTTGCACAGCCACATATCTCGACCTTTGGGCATACTGCCTGAAGCTCTCGTTGAATCTTTTTTCCATACTCTGTAACAGAATTCGGTTTGGCCTCACATCTTTTACGTGTTTATATTGCTCTAGAAAAGCCTTAGCCAAATCCTTCCAATATTTAATCTGAGCCCGACTTAGCTGATTGTACCAATGGATTACTGAGTATGTCAGGCTTTCTTGAAAACAATGAATTAATAGATGATCGTTTCCCACATAGTCTGTCATTTTTCTGCAAAACATGGTAATGTGTGCAAAAGGACAACTGGTGCCATCAAATTTCTCGAAGTCTGAAACTTTAAACTTTGGTGGCAGCACTAAATCAGGGAACAGGCTTAGCTCTCTGGTGTCGATTCCATATAGGCTAGCATCTTCTTTCATAGCTCGGAATTCATGCTTCATTTGTTTCCATTCTTTCTTAAGCTCCTTATCACATTCTTTTTTGTCTTCCTCATCTAAATCAGGGACATCTTCAATTAGTTGCGGGTTTGTAGAAGAGCCAGGTAGGTTTATTTGTATTTTTTTCAGTTGGAAAATCGTGGCTTGTTTTGCATGGACATGCGGTGGTGTGAAGCTAGGGGGATATAACGGTTCCTCGGCAGTATGACTGATAACTGGAGTCTCTCCTCGGATTATACTATTTCCTTGTAGCAAACTAACCAGCTTTTCTATCATGTCGTTTTGAGCCTTCATCATCTGTTCGTGCATATCCTCTTACGCTTTCTTTAAATTCTCTTGCATTTCAGCTTGAGTCTTCTCTATTTGGGCAATTCTGTCATCCATTGCCTTTTTTCGCGTGTTGTACGGATGCTTGTAAGTGTCCAGTATTCTGCCACATAATTTTTTTATTAATATTGGTGTTTTATTAATGAAGGGTGAAAAATATGATTAAAATGTTATTTGTAAAAGTAAATGCAATGTAGATGCAATATGAATGCAAGGTGACTGCAATGCAAGGTGTTGATTATGGGACGATTCCTTAGAACAACTTTTTATATAGGAAACGAAGCTCAATTACAATGATTAAACAGATCACAGATACATCTGAGCTATCTCTCCTAATTGTTGGATGTGTCCTAGTAACTCCAATATTTTATGGTCTTCTTCAGTCTCTGACTCTAACCATTCGATCACATCATCTGCTCCATTGTATAACTCCTTCATAAGGGACTAATGGAAGTTCATTTGCTCTTCTTTGAAAATCTTGAACTAAGGCCTCGGGTTCATTCATACGCTTCGTCAATCTTTCCTCATCAGCATGGTTTGAACTACTTTATCGACTTCGATATCGTCGCACAACAGTTTCTAAGATCAAAACTTTACTCTTCAATTTATCATTCTGGGCCAGATTCTCTTGCAGTTGTTGTTCAAGGGCAATCTTTTCTCTCGATAATAGCTTTGCCTGATGTATGTTCTGCTTGAGTTCTTCACTGTTTTCCTTAACTTCTCTTTTTAACCATGCCACTTCTTGTCTTCATTCAGCAAAAGACTTACTTGAGCTAGCAGCTACCTAATCCTTGACCATTCGTTGGTATGATAGTTGAAGATCATTGAAATCCAATCTGAGTTGCTTCTCCACTTTTTTGATCCGGTCAACTCGACTATTTTGGATATCAATCTCCAACTCTCTCTGATACACTTCATCTTTTAGCTTTTGGAAAGTCGTTCTCCATTGTTTCCTTTCCGCCTCAAAATCACACTTAGCTAGCTCTAATGGAGATGCCACCATCCTCAAATATTCTTCCATAGGCTGAATATTTTCAGGATTCACCATTGGGATGTTGTCATTCACTCGACTGCTTCTCTACTGCTCGTACTCTTGAGATAATTCGAGATCATGGGTGAATAGATTTACACGACGAGTTTCCTTCCAGGCCTCTGCAACCCCCTTGACTTTGTTCTTATATTATTCTCCTTTTAATGTAAAATCTTATCTTGACAGATCCCACGTGGCTGGAATGAACTGCCTTAACCCATACTGTCTAAAAACTAACAGAGGTACATACTCGATAGAACCCCATATACCTGGCAAAGGGACACAATCTCGCTCTCCACACCTGTAAAGTATATCTGAAGTGACATTCCATGAAGCTCGCCACAAAATATCACCATCCTTGATATCTTTAAAGATTACCATCCATTTTTCTTCGGTGAAACCCCCAGGCCATTCTTTAGAAAGGAAATCCTTCAAAGGTTAAAAACCATCCAGAAACACTCGTCCTGGTGCCTTTCAACGTGCTTGAAATGACTAAGAATCCACACTAGTAGTAGGGGTGCACACCCTATAAAGCGTCATTCTCCTTCTCGCCTATAAGAACTTAGAGAACGAAACATTTCAGCTATAATGGCTGGAACAAGATCCACATACTTGTCTAATCTTTCGAAAAGGTCAACGACTGATATATCTACATATCCTATCACTTTTGGGGAAATAACGAGCCCATAAATCCCTAGACCAAGAAAGTCAAGCTTCTTCCTCTGATCATCGTGAAGATTAATTACTTCTTTCAGAGCAGTCCAAAAATGCACTCACTGTCTCCTTTTTTCTTAATGTTTTTAATAACCCAATCTCCATTCATTCCAGTCATCAATAGCAATTTCTTCTTAAATAAAGGAGTGATCGACGGCTTGGCATAGATTCTATCCATTTGGGACCTCAGACACCGGATCAAAGCTCGATACTCCTCCATTGTTGGTGTCAGATCCACTCTACCAAACGTAAAATAGCTATAACTGGGATTCAGAATTGTGCTAGGGCCCTAAACAGATTTCGGTCGATTGGAACATCCAAAAAATAAGGTATATCTCCATATAACTGATAAAATATCTCTTTATAGACTGCTTCCCATCTTCCCCATATCTCTTTTAGCTCATTCAAATCATTCTGGCGTACATTGATGTGAGTGTAGCCAAACAACTCCGATACATACCCAGGCATCAAACTGTCTCATTTGGTCAACTGGGATTTTTCCGACCACCTCAGAACATCTGTATTTTCTTTAACCTATTTCTGAACCTTTTTTTCCATATTACTAGCATTCTATATGGATATCGATTCCAAATCAACACCATGAAATGGATAGTGCAATTCATAACAAAAGGAAATAACGCAAAGAAAAAGGAAATCAGTTAGTAAACATAAATCAATTAATCGTGGATAATAATTTGTTTAAAGAATCATACCCTCACATGTTGGCTACCCAATCATGTTTTATCATATCATACCCAGACATGATATCTACCCTCATGCTTTACTTGAACATTAAAACCCTAACCGCATGATATCTAATTCACATACTTGTTTGAAAAACAAACCTAACCACTTGATCTCTAGTTCGCATACATTTATTCGAAAAAAAGAAAATAAATGACTCAACAAGCTTTTCCTTGTGTACCCTCTCACGGGACTCCTGATGTTTGGGTCAGGTTCGACCTAAGTTCAGGCTCTATGTTCACTATATGTTGGGTTTGGTTCTAAAGCATTGGGTTCTCGAATTGTTATTAATGGTACCCTTTTGGGCTACCGAACCCAAATTGGGCCCAATTACAAATGGGTATTTGAACCAAACCCCAAACCCAATTACAACCCAACCCAGACCCGGTTGCACCAACCTATGCCT